TATTTAGATGGGAAAAGCAAAAAAACGTGAAAATGATAGATGGTTCATGAGAAGATCTGGTAAAAACGATAAAGAAAGAGAAATGGCAGAGAAGGAAGGTGGAATTTATGACAATAAGTCTAATCTTAAAGCTGTAGAAAATGAAACAGACTTGATAAGATCAGATGATGAAGGAGAATCTAAATTTCATGGTAAATATGAGGATGAATTCGAAGAGATGGACTATGAACAAGTGTTTGAAGACGATGAAGAAGATAATCTTGATTTACAAAACCCAGAGGATGTCAAAGATCCGGTGTTGGTTAAAACCAAATTCTTTAGTGGTACTGCCGAGGAAGAATTTGAGGAAGACAAGGAGAGAAACAAATTAACAGCTGAAGGAAAAAATCTCAAGAAACTTGTGAGAACATTGGAAAAAAATGTTGCATATGATGACAGTGATAAAGAATCAGATCCTTATGCAAGTTCAGTTGAACTCGATGGAACAGACGACGAGGAGGAAAGTCAAAATTCTCAATCATTGCCATCTAGTCTTAATTCTGCAAAATTAATCTCGCCTCCTAAATCGGAAAAAGGAAAAAGCACAACCAAAAGTGGTGCGAAGTCAGCTCAAACAAAAACAAAAGCAACAGCAACAACTAATAAAACTTCAAGCTCATCATCAACCACCACTAAATCCAAAGCAACAGCTGCGACAACAGCTGCTGATAAACCAAAGAATAAATCTCTAACTTCAGCTAAAAAAGGTACAGCATCATCCACGCCATCTTCATCAGCTCCTGCAACACCAAATTCCACCACCACATCTAAACCAAAAGCAAGTACCAAATCTGTAACTATTAAGACTGAATCGAAATCTGATTCTTCAACTGCAATCATTGGTTCACCGTCATCGTCATCTACTACATTAAAAAGTTCCGCATCAAAAACAAAACAACCAAAACTATCAACATCAACATCAACACCTGATAATAGTGCAAGTAGTGGTAGTAGCACAGAGAAAAAATCAAAACCTGCTGCTGGCAGTAGTAGTTCCGATTCTAATTTGATTACAGAAAAAGAAATATGTGTCTTAATTAGAACAAAAAAGGTAAACATTGAAGGCATTATTAGAGCCTTTAAGAAAAAAATTGAGAAAGACAATAGAAATAAAGAAATTCTTGTCTCGCTCACAAGAAAAGTTGCTAATTTTGTTCACAAAGAAGATTATTTCACGTTGAAACCTGAATATTCTTGATAAAATTAACTTATTTTATAAAAAATTATGGAGCTTTCACCAAATAATCGGTTTAATTATTATCCTTTATTAATATTTTACATAGATTTTAATTAATATTAGTATTTTTACATATAACTAAACAAAAATTTATTATATGTATATGAAAATTGGTTTTTTGCTTTTTTATCATTAAAAATTGTTTAATAAATGAACCAAATAAAATAATTTTCCTATTGTTTTTATTAATATGTACAAGTTTTAAAAGCAATCCTAATCAATCTCTTTACACTTTTCCATTTTTTCTTTCGAACAGCAATACGAATCTTCGTCAGCATAAATTTTTTATGTTCGTCCAATTCTGCTCTACTATATTTGCCTTTACTTGGGCCGGCAACTTGTAGAACAGGGATTTGTTCTTTGAAAGATTTATTAAATATATGAAGTTTTGGCGGTTCATCATTAAATTTCACGGAAAATAATGGTGGTGATGGTAATGATCGAGTTGATTTTGATGATGTTGTTGTTGTTGCTGATGATGATGTTGTTGTTGCTGATGATGATGTTGTTGATGATGATGGTTTTATTGATGATGTTAATGTTGATTTTTTATTAACGACGACGACGAATTGATTTTTCTTTTTAAAATTTGATTTTAAAATTCCATTTTTGCTACAAAGCCATCGATGTTTGGGTGCAATTTTAGAATTTTTTATTACATGTTTTGTAAATAATAAAATCAACAATTTTGAAAAAAAAATACGGCCGCCGATTCTCTGTGATAAAAAAATAGGTAAAATAGAAGGTAAGATTTTGTCAATTACTAGTTCGATTAGTAACGTACTATATTGTATTATTGATTGATGATAATGTTGGTTGTGGTTGTGGTTGGTCGTGGAAGTGGGGGTGAGGGTGGAGGATTTTTGATAATTTTTGTTAATTAATAAAGAAGATGATAAGATTTCTAAAAATCTTTTTAATAAAATGTTTAAGGAACGATTAATTATTGTTGGTAGAAAATATACTGGTATTATTATTTTTGTTGATTTCGTCGTCGTCATCGCCGTCGCCAAAGATGGGGAAATAATAATTGTTGGTGCCGGTAACAATCTTTTGGTGTTGGAGGTTTTTCTAATGATTGTTATTGTACCATTATTATTATTCCTCCTATTATTATTATTCTTACTATTGTTATTTCTATCACTACCATCACCATTATTGCCATTATTATTTGCTGCCGCTATTGATAAAGAAGATTTGAAGGATTTCCGACGACACGAGATAATAATAGCATTACTATTACTATTGCTATTATTATTATTACTATTACTATTACTATTACTATTATTATTATTATTATTATTAATGTTATTGCCTTTTCGTGTTGTTGATAATACCTTTTTTCTAGATATTTTAGAATTGTTAACAGGTTCTGGACACATTGTACTCGTTGATTTATTCGATTTTTCTTTAAACGAGAGAATTTCCAAGGGATTGAATTTTAATGAATGAATGAGCACGAGCGAGAATAGTTAAAAATATAAAAAAAATAATTTTAAAAAAAAACTTTATTTATTTGTTTATTTTTTTTTAAAATATATATATATTTTTTTTGATGAGATAAAAATAAAAAAAAAAAAAACATCCATAAACTTTATATATTATTTATTTTATTTTTGTTGTACAATTGTTTGCGTACTATCATCAATTAATCAAATAATGGGAATTAGAAATAAATAATAAGATATGTATGTGTGTGCGTTATGATTATGTATTAGTATAAAAATTTATAGTAAATAATTGATAATAAATAAATAAATAGATATGAAATAATCTAATCAAAAAAAGATAATCATAACTCCTAAAAAACTAAAAAAGATTAATAATTATATTTCTATTCTCCAACATAATCTTCCTCAATGATATATATACAGACGACATATATATAATGAATAATCACGTTATATAAAAGTCAGGCTAGCAATGCACAGTCTGGGTTTTTTTACCCTATCGGTATGTCGATCAGATCCCACTCATATACAAATGAATTTACAAGATGTTATTTTTTTTTTTAAAAAAAAAATTAATTCGTTATTGAGATAAATAGTACTAAACTTGCCTTTTCATAATCTGTCGATAATCTGTGATTTGTTCAAAGCATGCTTCTAACAAAAATTAGGAAATTCATATGCAAGGTGTTTAATTTCGTTGTATTGATTTATTTATTCATTTTTTATTATTTTTTTCTAGATATAATAAAAAGACCATCTACTAGTACTTTAACATGCTTGTTCGACATACTTACCCAGAAACATGTGAACTAAAGCAATCAATATTGGTGACAAGCATCAGGAAATTCATAAAGGAACATTTAAATCATTTATTGAATATTATCTTTGTTAATTGATATGAAAAACATTATTAAAGATTGTTTCTAAATTTTTTATCAGATCTTTTAAATCAGATATGAAAAACAATTCAAATATACATAAAATTCAAATAAAAATCCCAGGAAGTTAATATTTTGTATAATAATTAGAAAACCATATCAGAAATTAGGTAAATGATCATATATATAAAAACAATTTAACAAAAATAAATATCGAGCACTTGAATCAGTTTATGACTTGATTATTAATCGGAAATAGTGTTACCGGGGTAACTAACAATTCAAGTGTGAATTTGCGAAACATTTATTATTTATGGTCAAAAGAACTATTTAGATGATTTTAATACAAACATATCATACTTTTATTGAGATTAAAATACACATATACAAGAGCCATAGTTTTATAAAATTCTTATACATGTTTAATATAAAGAACTTTAGAATGCATTGCTCTCATCAAATATAACAATAATGAAATCAAATTCAAATCATATTTTTGAACAAATATTCAACAAATAAGGGTAAGCATATATATAAAAATAAATATAATAAATAAAACTGTTTTTTTCATTTTTTTCTTTATTAAAACTGTATCAACATAAAGTTTTAAATTAAGATGTATTTTAAATGAGGCATACTGCAGCAAAACCAGACAAAGTTAACATAAATTGCAGAGTTCAAAAAATTTTTTTTGCAGACCTTTGTTTGAAAAAAGGCATTAATTTAATTGACGATCCGTCTATCTTTTTACTATATATTAAAAACTGAAGGAAATATATAATGATCTGCAAAAATATATTCCACATCCCCGTCATGTGATAAAATTTAAATGAAAAAAAATTTTACGATTTCATTTTTGGTTTTGAATTTTGGAATTTAAAAACAGTTTCGGAATTTAATAGTTTCGGAATTTGAAATAGTTTCGGAGTTTCAAAAACAGTGTTTCTATTCATAACACAATTCTTTGTTCAATCTTAATTATATTTTATTTGTTCATCTGTTTTATTTCAATCCATTGAATACTCAAATTGATTAATTATAGTGAATAATTTATATTTTTTTGTTGTTATTACACAAACGTAAAAACTTTTTTATATATGAAAAATCTCTCATCTCTACATCCCAAAAGTAAACCCTTTTTTTTTCAATATTCTTAAAAAAAAATACATAAATATGTTCTTTGACATTTGTTTCATAACCTAAAATCAAAAAATATGATTTTATAATACTAAAGTATAGTACCATTTTTTTATACAAGGACGTCAATTGGTGAAATTTGTGACATTTTTCCTCCTCCGATCCCTATCTAGAGCTCACTCATTCATAGACGGATCGTCAATTAATTATTATAATACTTAATCATAAAAAGCAATGCAATAATTGTTGTGACTTGCGTTAATGTTTTTTTTCATCTAGCAGGATTTTTTTAGGAGTTATTTCATTAGTATCAATGATATGAATATCACTGACATTGCTAATATTACGTTCTGGAGTTAAATATCCTCTCTCAAATTCATGTTGATAAGCATTGTTTATATAATTCTCATACTTGCTCTTAATTTCTTTAAGCATTTTTCCTAATTTTGTAAATTTTTTCAAGAGAGCTGGAAGGAAATATCAAGTCTAATTTAGCTACTTGTCCATACATGCAGCCCAAAGTATTTTGACACTGTTGTAAAGGGGCATTACACTTATGTTTTTAATAATGAGTGCCATAATTAATTTCTACTTTCTACCATCAAAATTGAAATAATTTTGACCATTGAAATCACCAAACCAATTTGGGCTGCATGTATAATCTGAATATATACTCTGAGGATCACCTAGGATTACTGCAAAGTTTACAAGATATAAGAAATTATTAGTTGAAGAAAATTTCATTTTTAAGTATAGTTTTAGGTTCACTTTTCACTTTTTACTTCAATAATATTTAAGATGATATAACCAAAAATAGTAATAGCTGCCAATGAATGTTCTTAACAAGAGGCGGAATACTGCATACTCTATTTTAAAAAAGATATTAGTTGAAAAACATATCAGATGAAACATATTAAATGAGATAAAATAAAGGGTCACATAAAACTATTTACAACAAATTGTCAATAATAAGCCATAATAAAATTATATATATATATATTCATTTATTAATAACTTCTATTTATTAAAAACATAATTTGTTGTTTATTCATTAACAACTATAGATATAAAAAAATCCAAATTAATTTCTTAATAATTCACATATATGCTCATCCATTAATTCTATTTATTATGGACATAAGAAAATTCAAATTTATTTTCTCAATAATTTATATATATATTCATCCATATATTCCTATTTATTAACTCTATTATAGTATCATTAATATTAGAGCCTGGCTGGTATTTATTACTGTATGAAATTTATATTAATTGTGATGAACTAAGATTTTTATTAAAGGAAAATATTTATATATATATTATAACTTATTATAATTTGAACCATTAATATATCAGGATAACATGCTATATATTATTTCAATAAATAGCATCCTCAACATTGCTTAATTCTAGGTACACTACCTGGACAAAAGTATAGGGACACCTGCAGATCATCACAAATAATTGGATAAAGTGACATGACAAAAACTAAAAATTTTACTATCTCAATCACACTTGCTTATTAAGTAAAAATTAATCTTCATATCAAATACTATAATATACTGAAGTTTCACCCCATATAAACAAACCATTGTTGTTTTACAAACCTTAAAAGATAAAAATGAAAATACTGGAATTTTCTGAAAAAAGTTTGACTCGAAAATTGACCACATTAGCAAGTTCTAACGACCTTTGTGGCATAAGTAAAAAATGTGTCTCATGTTTGAAATTAGTTATTTGCAGAATTTCACAAAGTTTGCCATATTATTTCTCA